TCATCTGGCTGCTGTTGGATCCTCCGAGTTTGCTCTTTATCTGCATACCAGCCTTCTGTAGGGACCACAAGGAAGAAGAAAGCACCCTTCTTTCTGGTCAAATCATGAAGTCAAAATTGCACATCATCTTTGCTTAGCATAGTTTCTTGGTCCCACAGATACGTAACAGTGGAGGAGACTAGGAAATAACGCTTTTTGCGTGCCAGTACTTTTACTTTTCTATAAGAGGGAGATAGGAGATGATGTGATGTGGAACAGTAACAGCCTGTGACACACCCTTCTTTCCCACTCCCTGATGAAGGTGCTAATACGAAAGATCCAGACAACCTGAAGTAGAAAAAGGAATGAAAGAATCCAGGGAGACAAAAGATTGGGACATAGATTGGGACCATGCCGTTGATTTAAGCTGTGTGCTGGGCAGTAAGCTATTCTTTCTTACTTTATGTACATCTGAAATGTTCCATAATAAAAGCTAAATAAATTCTAGTTCCAAGAAATGGAAACAATCAGTGTTGGTATGCTCTCAGGGCTGTGCTCTCGTTAAGTTCCTTCTAAAGTTTCCAGGCTATCATTTCTTCTGTGTGAATACATGCACTCATAAATTTTACTTTTTTTCCCCCACACAAGAGACTTATTGGGAAAGACACAAGAGGGTGGCTGCCTTTTATAAATTTTATTTTTATATACTGCACTTGTTAACAGTTTGTTTTTGAGTTAATTAAATAAAAATTTCACGACTGCTTTATGTAGTAATAAGGGGAATGCAAGCATAAGTGTGAAGTGAGGCCCCTTTTTGGTGAATAAAATCTAATCTGGAAGATCAGACATTCCCTCACTGAAGAGAAGTCAACCAGACGGCCAGTGTGAGGAGGATCACATCAAACTGAAAAGATCCAAAGGAAGTTTCTTGGAAAGGATGCTTATAAACTGGGAAGAGGGAGGAGTAGGCTTGTGACAGATGCAGGTGGAGAAAGGTCTGGGCAAGGACCACCAAGAGAGAGGCTCTGAGCCAGAGACCATGAGCTGGCCCCTTGTGGCAGCAAACAGAGTCAGGGATTTTTAGTGAGTACCCGGATGTCCTTGTAAAAAGAAGGCAGTAAATAAAGAAGAGGTTTTGCAGGAGTGATGTTTGTTCAGGGATGAGAAGCGTTGAGTGAGGTTCTGGTGAGAGGTTGAGATGAAATGCCCATGTCAACCACGGCGTTGGGATACACAGAGTCATGTGGGTGGTTGATGACTGAAGCTGATAGCTGAAGCTGGAGGCCCATGAGGAGGTTAGTGCTAAAGTGGTTGGGGGAAAGAGTGGTTTCCAAGCCAGTGTTGTTAGCCAATGGGAGTCCTGATGACTGCATTGCTGTGGAAGCCAAGCGGTGATGACAGCTGACACCAAGGATGATAGGAGTCTTTGATAGAAGAATCACTGTATTTCCCCTCCTCCACACTGAGTTCTCAGAACATCTTTTGTGTATGTGTGTTTGCAGGTGGGCACACCTGTGCTCGTGGAGGCCAGAGGAAGGAGATGCCCTCCTCTGTTGCTTTTTTCCCATTATTCCTTTGAGACTGGGTCTCTCTCTGAACTTAGAGCTTATGTGCTTTGGGTAGTCTGCCAACCAGCAAACTTCTGTATTTACTCTACCAGCGCTGATTGGCAGAGCTCTCAGTGACTGTCAAGTTAAGTGCTGCTTCTGCTGTGCAACTCAGCACTTCTTCTTTTTCCCTTTTTTTAAACTTTAAATTAGAAACAACTTGCTTTACATGTCAATCCCAGCTCCCACTCCCTCCCCTCCTCCTCCTCTCCCCACCAAGCCCCCAACCCCCCACTCCATTTTCTCTCCCCTCCCCAGGGAGGGGGAGACTCTCCATGGATGATCTCCAAAGTCTGTCATATCATCCAGGATAGGGCATAGACCCTCCCCCATGTTTTCAGGCTGAGAGAGCATCCCTCCATGTGGATTGTGCTCCTAAAGTCCATTCTTAGGCCAGGGATAAATACTGATCTACTACATGAGGCCCCATAGATTGCTGAGGTCTCCTCACTGACACCCATGTTCAGGGGGGCCTGGATCAGTCCCTTGCTGGCCTCTCAGCTATCAGCCTGGGGTCCATGAACTCCTCCTTGTTCAGGTCAGATGTCTCTGTGGGTTTTACCAGTCCAGTCTTGACCCCTTTGCTCATCACTCCTCCCTCTCTGCAACTGGGTTCCAGGAGTTCAGTTCAGTATTTAGCTGTGGGTGTCTGCCTTCACTGGATGAAGGTTCTAGGATGGCATATAAGGTAGTCATCAATCTCATTATCCAGGAAGGGCATTTAAAGTAGCCTCTCCACTGTTACTTAGATTGCCAGTGTGTCATCTTTGTAGATTTCTGGAATCTCCCTAAGTGCCACATCTCTCCTAAAACTTATAATGACTCCCTCTATTATGGCATCTCTCATCCTGTTCTCCTCTATTCTTCCCTGCAATCAACTTTCCTGCTCCCCCATGTCCTCTTGTCCCCTCCTCTTCTCCCCCTCTCTTTCTCCCTGCTCCCTCTCCCTTCACCTCATGCTCCCAATCTGCTCAGGAGATCCTATCCCATTCCCCTTCTCCAGGGTATCATGCATATCTCTCTTAGGATCCTCCCTGTTTCCAAGACTCTCTGGTGTTGGGATTGTAGGCTGACAATCCCCTGCTCCATGTCTAAAATCCATATATAAGTGAATACATACCATGTTTGTCTTTTTGTGACTGGGTTATATCACTCAGGATGGTTTCTTCTAGTTCCATCCATTTCCTTGTAAATTTCAAGATTTTATTTATTTTTTTACTGAGAAGTATTCCATTGTGTAAATGTACCATATTTTCTCTTCTGTTGAGGGCCATCTAGGTTGCTTCCAGTTCTGGCTATTACAAATAATGCTGCTATGAACATAGTGGAACAGACATCCTTATTGTATGAATGTACATCTTTTGGGTATATGTCTAAGAGTATAATTGCTGGATCTTGTGATAGACTAATTGCTGGATCTTGTGATAGACTAATTCCCATTTTCCTTAGGAACCTCTGTACTGATTTCTAGAGTGTCTGTAAAAGTTGGCACTCCCACCAGCAGTGGAGGAGTGTTTCCCTTTATCCATATCCTCTCCAGCATAAACTGTCATTGGTGTTTTTTATTTTAGCCATTCTGACAGGAGTAAGATGATATCTCAGAGTTGTTTTGATTTGCATTTCCCTGATGGATAAGGATGTTGAGTACTTTCTTAAGTATCTATCAGCCATTTTAGACCCCTCTATTGAGAATTCTCTATTTAGTTCTGTACCCCCATTTTTAAATTGGGTTGTTTGGTGTTTTGGAGACTAGTTTCTTGAGTTCTTTATAAATTTTGGAGATCAGCCCTCTGTCAAATGTGGGTTGGTGGTGAATATCTTTTCCCATTCTGTGGGCTGCTGTTTTGTCTTGTTGACTGTGTCCTTTACCTTACAGAAGCTTCTCAGTTTCAGGAGGTCCCATTTATTAGTTGTCGATCTCAGAGTCTGTGCTACTGGTGGTTATGTTCAGGAAGTTGTCTCCTGTACTAATTTATTCCAGCGTACTTCCCACTTTCTCTCCAAGAGGTTCAGTGTGGCTGGATTTATGTTGAGATGTTAGATCATTTGGACTTAAGTATTGTGCATTGTGATAGATATGATAACCAAAAGGCAGAAAGATAACATACAAATTAACACAATCAGAAATGATGAGGGAGACATAACAACAGACACTGGGGAAATCCAGAAAGTCATCAGTTCATACTTTGAAAACCTGTACTCAACAAAATTGGAAAATTTAAAGGAAATGGACGATTTTCTGGATAGATATCACCTACCAAAATTAAATCAAGAACAGTAAACAATTTATATAGGCCCCTAATTAAATAGAAGCAGTCATCAAAAATCTTCCAACCAAAAACAGTCCAGGGCCTGATGGTTTTAGCGCAGAATTCTACCAGTGCTTCTTACTGTACCTCGACTCAGCAATTTTGAAAACCTTAATTGGCCAGTTTTCCTTGAGTCTCTCTTTCCAGTCTCTGGTTTTCTTCTAGAGACTGTTCTAATTTCCTGGTATGTCTCTCCTCTACAGAATGCTCACAAGCAAACTGCATCAGGACCAAGGCTGGATTCTCTTCTCTTCCTACAGCCTCCTGGAGGATCTCTTGTGTTTACATTTTATTTAAGCTTTGGTCCTACCTCATGAGCCACTTGGAGCTTCCACCCCACCCCCAACTCTCAACTCTCATTCTCCTTAAAAATTTTGAAACATCCTCACTTAGGTTGGAACTCACCATGTAACTCAAGACAGACTCATACAACATTCATTCTGCTTCTTGTGCCTCCCCCCACCCCCACCTCTGTGCTGAGATTGTAAGTGTGAGCCGCCATGACTGCTCAATTGGATTACTCAAGGACAAAGTTGAAATATGGACCCCGTGCTCCTCCTAAACCCGTTGTTCACCTCAGTAAAAAGCAGCAGCACCATCAACTTTCCCACTCAAGCATCACAGTAAACCATTAGATCACAAAGACTGTGTCTCCGTGCTGCACTCCACTCAGAAGTCCTGAGCAAATGCTATTGGTTTATGCCATGTTATTTGCCCAGAACATTCCCTAATTTGACTGAGTTGTATAGGTCCTAAGAAATGAGATCTCTGATGTAACTCCATTGCAGCCCAGCAGTGTGATACAGGCATCACTACATCACCTTTTACTTCAAATTTGAGATTGGCTGTGTGTGTTTTTAAAGAATATTATGGGCTACTTACAGGGAATAGACAACTACATTTGGTGACAGGAACAGTATCAATTGGCACCAGAAGTAGAAGGACCTTAGAAATCTGAGAAATGTTGTTGTCCCTCTTGTCTAGAAATTAATAATCTGCTGTAATTCTCTAGTGAGGAATGGAATGTCATTTTAGTCCTATTGTACCCGGACAGAAGGAGAATGCAGTTAAAGCAGGCTTGTGTTTTTCTCTTCACCTTATATAGCTACGTTCTTGGGAAAAGCAATGATTTGGAGGAAATAGAAAGTTCTGGTTCTACCTTGGGAGCTAGCAAGTAAGTCATTGTAAAACTAATTAATGATGTCTTTCTTTCCTACATCTTCTGCCACATCAAACAACTATTGTTGCCCAGATGTTCTTGGGCACCAGGGTACTGCCTGAGTGAGCTATCTAACCCTAAGAACCTCTAAATTAATTGTGCTACCATTTAATTGAAGAGGGACCAGAAGCCTGAGAAGCTGGTGAAATGTCCCAGATATGAAGCTAATGCAACACCAGACTTCAAATTCAGCCTGTTGTATTCTTGCCATACTGTGTTACAGAGAGAATTCCTCTAAATGTCTTTACCCCTCGCTGCTGTTATGTCATTGATGTAAGATGTGCCAGCAGTTTAATTTAGTAACAGTTTGCAGGAATAAAGTAAGCACCCTCAAATCAAGTGTAGTTAGACCCTGTTTGTCTTTTGAAACTCCAACCATTGTTTTTATTCTTGATAATTCCCTTTTACCTTACATCCCGGAGGCTTTCAGCTTCAGGGTCAGGCTAATTGCAGAAAGTGGGTAAATTCTTGGTTGATTACTTCTGAAATTGAGTCTCACAACTCATAAGAGATTAGAGACTTGGGGTTTATTTTTGTTAATTATAAGGCATATTTTGTAAGACGAATAAAGGGTCTTTCCTTGAGAGGGAGAGAGAGCCTGACAGCCCCATCAGCAGGAGAGCTGAGGAGAACAAAAACATGGGATTGGGGATGCTTCCTGTCCCAGGGAGGAAATTCTGCAGTTTAGAGACTTCCAGTGCCTCCTGTCTGTCACTTCCAGTTGTGGGCCTCTGGAGTATGAATGAATGGAGTACCAGGATGGCTGATGTGGCATGCCTACTGGGCTCTTGAATGATAAATTCTATAATTTGGCCCTGTGTCTCCACATTCCATCAGAAAGGAAGACCCAGACCATAGCTGACTCGTTCTCCAACAGTCTATACAAAATCTCATTGACACATTTGGGTTACTACACCTCCCCACAGTACAGGGAACCTGGATCTTGAATTCTGGAACATTCTCCTCAGGAAAGATATATCACAATAGCAGAAGGCAAACGTGTTTATGATGGGTTGAGGAGTCCAGGCAGCATAGAAGGATCTGGATTCACTGTGATGTGTCCCCAGAGATTGCCCTGGGAAGGAAACAGAGGGTCTGAAGGTCCTGGTGAGAAAACACCACCAACAAATTTAATGGGGTTTCCTGTGCCAAGGAATGTCATCAGTTAAAGTAGTGTGGGTGGAAGTCCAGGACAAGGAGGTCATGCAATGAAGGCTCCCCTGCTTACCTGCTGTCCACAGGTCACTAATAGGTCATCTGCTCCTTCTGAGAGTACCCACATCACTGCTTTACTAGTGTGTGTCACAGACTTCCATATAAAGGCATGGTTTCCAGCCTCCTGGTTTAGGTTGTTGATGCTCATTGCATATCTCATGTACCATGTGTCACTCTTGGGTAGTTCAGTCAGGTTGGTAGAGCACGTGAATGCTGGTATCTTGACATCCCTGGAAAATAATCTCATGTGTGGCATACTTCCCAGAGCTGACTATCCACGGGCCAAGGGCTTGAGTGGCAAAATGTGAAAACTACTTTCTACAAATTATCCAGATAACCTCTAGCAACCCTCTCCTGGATACAAGTCAGCCACTCAAAGGTGACAGTTTGGCAAGTATTCATAGCTACCCTGATGGTAGATTGTCATATTGCTGCTCAGTTGAGGGGACTCTTGCAGCTTTGTCTGTTTGCAATCTTTTGATAAAGATCTTTAGAAGCATGCTAATTAATTTTACAGGAATGTCTGTCTTTGGCTCTGCAGCTAATTATTTTCATATTATGTGTTCCAGTGATAGATGATGGATACATAAATACATTACCTTTGCTCAATCCATGTTTTCTGCTGTTGATACAAAGTACACACATTGGACTAGTTTCAGAACAGCTGAATTTGGAATGTGACATCTTGCCAAATGAGGATCACACTTGCGCATACAACACAGATGTGGAATTTTACAGTTGTTTTCTTTTAAAAGACTGTGTGTCTGTGGTGTCATTGATTAATGTAATATTGTATTAATGTGCTGTTACAACACTCCAGGGTCTTCATGAGGTCTTCCAGCTAACAGCAAAGAATTCTTCAAACTAAAGTTTTTAATAAAATACAGATTGTGGGGTAAAACAATTATGGTGGTGATGATGAGGATAAGCACCAACCTGAGGATTTATGGGTAGCACAATGCTTGAGCGATTAGTTTTGATGGACCTGTCAATAGAAATACAGCGAAATTGCTATGTAGGTTTACTCTTCCAAATCATTTGACACTGTCTGCATTTATTATTTATTTTATCTGTCTTTAGAGGAACAAGACACCATGGCAGTATTTATCCCACTTTTCTTTTCCTTTTGAAGTGTGTACTTGCTTCAATTGCTTGCCCAGTGGTACGATCAGATCCAAGATGTTAGCAAAGGCCAACATAGCCATGTGTGTGACATGGCAGTAGCTGCTAAAGTTAAAATTGAATTCTTCACTGTCCATTGTACGTGGCTGGCAAGCAACTCTCTACCATGCTACACTGATGTAATGTTGGCCAGGAATCTTTCTACATCTAATTTAAGTCATTACTACCTTTTTTCTTTCTTGGGGTATTTTTTAATCATTAACTATATTTTCCCTATTACAGAAATCTTCAATAGTATTTTAAATCCATTCACTGTTGAAAATTTAAGTGAATAAAAACATCCTGGCTAGAACACTCTCAACTTTTTTTTTAACGAGACAGGGTTTCTCTGTATTGTTTTGGAGGTTATTGGTCCAGCCCGGCCTTGAACTCACAGAGATCCGCCTGCCTCTGCCTCTCGAGTGCTGGGATTAAAGGCGTGCGCCACCACCGCCCGGCACTCTCAACTTTTTAAATGAAAAGGTAGCTGCCAGACTACTCACAGAAAAGCATAGAACTAGTTCTCCATTTTCTTGGAATTTTAGGATTTTCAAACATCTATTTGATAAGAAAAATATAAGGAAGGCTTCAGTTTTTCACTACAACTCTACCATAGCCTCACAGAGACTTGGGTATAGAAAATAGGATTTCTCCTTTTAATCATCAGAAAGCTTTTAAATTCCAAAGAAAGCAAAAGATCCAAAAAGGAAAAAAGAAAAAAGAACCCCGTAATTAACAGAAAAAAGTTCAGTAGTGAGAGCTATGAATGAACATTTGTATAAATAATTTACATCTAGCAAAATAAGATCATTAAGTTTAAGCATGCACAACATCATTTTGTGGGCTCTGCTTATAATGTTAATAGAAGCATTATTTAAACGAACTAGACTGCTGATATTGATAGTATGCCTTCAGAAGTCCAAGTAGGGTTGGTGTGTAAAATGGAGATGAAGAGGAGGATGCTATAATGAACTCACATCATTTTTGTCTGCCTGCCAAGATCTGCACAAAGACAAACCAGCCACAACTTCAACATAAAAGGGGGAAAGAGATGCTTGTGAAGTCCCAACATTAAGTTGAGGCACTGTTGCCAACTGGCTGCTAGGGGACAGTCAGTTTTCTTCAGTGATGTGGTCCCTGATAAGCTGTGTAGATGGTCCCACACCCGTACACATCTGGTAAACACTAAGTGGATTGGGTAGGGTTAAAAAAGATCATATGAAATTGGAAGGGGAAAGTAGTGAAAGGGTAGGGAAAGAGCTGGAGAGGAGGGAATAAGGGGTCAAATTGATCAAAACCCAATATGTATGAAATTATTAAATAATATCAACAGCAATAGGGTGTTGAGTCACTGAACTGATTAGAGGTCACAGATGCCTGCCACCAAGTCTGGTGACCTGAGTGTCCTCCCAAGGGCCAACATGGTGAATGAGAGAGTGACGACTGAAACCATTCCTCTGATCTCCATACTTGTGCTGTGCCCCCTCCCCACATAAAAAAATGAAATAAAAACTTTGCTTTCTAAAAAGAAGAGCGTGTTTCTCTTGTATTTTAGCTCTTTTAGACCTTGATACATTTTAGTGGATTCTGTAAAGTCCTTGTCAATCAAGGTGGTTAATTAACAATTAGAGTCAGGGACTGTGACTAGGTATCTGTGATGGGGGTTGTTTCTCTTTGTGGGTTCAGGGTTCATGGTGTTACCCATAGTGTAAACCCTAAAGGTATAATGGTGAGTGTGCATCACTGCTGTACTGAGATCTGTAGAAATTCCACATTGGGTGTTCTCTGAAGAAACTTGTAGGGGATATCACCCCCCTGCTCTCTATTTTGTGAAATCTTTTTCTTTTTTTCTTCTTTGCTCTAGAGATTCCATTGTATGACTCTCCTTTCTTTAAAACCACCATAGAATACCTTCCATGTCTTAATTATACAGTCCTCTTGTGTTTTTCTAGTGTTTGTATTCCCATAGTTGCAAATAAAAAGTATATTTTTAGTTTTAGAATTTTCCTTTCCATTAAAAAAAATCCCTGAAGATTTGTGGCACCACTGTTATTTCTGTTAATGGCATTGCTTCCATAGCAGCAAGCTACAGCTTTGTAGGAAAGCCTGTTTACAGAAAGCAACCAACCATCCAAGTAAATGTTATAGCTACATGAATAAGGGTTTCAGTTTAGATCTCTTGAAACCATTACAATACATATGCCCACACATGCCCACATGCAAACACACACACACACACACACACACACACACACACACACATGCCCCTTCTATTGTAATTATACATTTGTTGTAATTAGCTAGACCCTCATATCTAAAAAAAAATAAAATAACATCAGTTCTTTAGATTCTCATAGCAGAAGAAAAAAAAAACCAACAACCCTAGGCTACTCTACTCTTGTTCTTGGCCATAGAATGCAAAATAACTGAGCATCTACTGGCATTTAATTCTGGGAGTGAACTTAAGGACAAATCAAAGGGGAGTCAGAAAACATTTCCAGTTTTTCATAGCTTATTTGGCTGAACATAGACCAAACATTGATGCACATGTTCATTTAGCTTGGAAGGCTTATTCTCTCAAAATAAATAGATGGGCTTACTGCTTTAAGATACTATGTACTATGAAAACTCCAACCCAAGGAAGCTAACTACAACCAGAAAAACATAAGCATTAGAGAATCCCTCTCTACCAACAGCCAAAAGAACAAAGGGGCGAAATTCCACCCATAATTCCACCAACAACAACCATCGCAAATCGAAGAAGGATGAGCAATCAATGGTCATTAATATCCCTCAATATTAATGGCCTTAACTCACCCATAAAAAGACACAGACTAGCAGAATGGATTCGAAGACAGAACCCTTCCTTCTGCTGCATACAAGAAACACACCTCACCCTCAAAGACAGACATTACTTGAGAGTTAAAGGTTGGGAAAAAATTTTTCAATCAAATGGACCCAAGAAACAAGCAGGGGTAGCAATCCTAATATCTAACAAACTAGACTTTAAAATAAAATCAATCAAAAGAGATGAAGGAGGTCATTACATACTCATCACAGGGGAAACCCACCAAGACGAAGTGTCTATCCTGAACATCTATGCCCCCAATACAAAGGCATCCACATTCGTTAAAGAAACATTATTAGAACTTAAATCTCATCTAAAGCCCCACACAGTTATAGTGGGAGATTTCAACACACCACTCTCACCACTAGACAAGAATACCAGACAGGAACTCAACAAAGAAGCAAAGGGTCTAATAGAAGTAATGACCCAACTGGGATTAACAGATATCTATAGAACATTTCATCCACATAAAAAAGAATATACCTTCTTCTCACCACCACATGGAACCTTCTCAAAAATCGACCACATACTTGGCAACATATCAAACCTCAGCAGCTACAAAAAAATTGGAATAACTCCATGCATCTTATCAGACCACCATGCCTTAAAATTAGAATTCAACAACAACACAAAGTGCAGAAAACCTACAAACTCATGGAAATTGAATAATGCTCAACTGCACCATCCCTGGGTCAAAGAGGAAATAAAAAAAGAAATTAAAGACTTCCTCGAACTCAATGAGAATGAAGACACAACATACCCAAACCTATGGGACACTTTGAAAGCAGTGCTACGGGGAAGTTCATAGCACTAAGTGCTCACATGAAGAAACAGGAAAACAGTTATACCAGAGAATTAACATCACAGCTAAAAGCTCTAGAACACAAAGAAGCAAACTCCCCCAGGAGGAGTAGACGCCAGGAAATAATCAAATTGAGGGCTGAAATCAACAAAGTAGAAACCAGGAAAACAATACAAAGAATCAATGCAACGAAGAGTTGGTTCTTTGAGAAAATCAACAAGATAGACAAACCTTTGTCCAAACTTACCAAACAGCAGAGAGTGAACACGCAAATTAACAAAATCAGAAATGAAAAGGGGGACATAACAACAGACTCTGAGGAAATCCAGAGAATCATTAGGTCATACTTTGAAAACCTGTACTCCACAAAATTCGAAAATTTAAAGGAAATGGATGACTTCCTGGACAGCTATCATTTGCCAAAACTAAATCAAGAACAGATAAGCAATTTAAATAGACCTATAACCCCTATGGAAATAGAAGCTGTCATCAAAAGTCTCCCAACCAAAAAAAGTCCAGGTCCAGATGGCCTCAGTGCAGAATTCTACCACAAATTCAAAGAACAGCTTATACCAATTCTTCTCAAAGTGTTCCACACAATAGAAGCAGAAGGGTCTTTGCCAAACTCTTTCTATGAGGCTTCAATAACCTTGATCCCCAAGCCACACAAAGATACAACCAAGAAAGAGAACTTCAGACCAATATCCCTCATGAACATTGATGCAAAAATACTCAATAAAATACTGGCAAATCGGATCCAAGAACACATCAAAACAATCATTCACCACGATCAAGTAGGTTTCATCCCAGGGATGCAGGGATGGTTCAACATACGAAAATCCATCAACGTAATCCACCATATAAACAAGCTGAAAAACAAAAATCACATGATCATCTCACTAGATGCTGAAAAAGCCTTTGACAAAATCCAACATCCCTTCATGATAAAGGTCTTGGAGAGATCTGGGATAACAGGGACATACTTAAACATAATAAAAGCCATATACAGTAAACCAACAGCCAACATCAAACTAAATGGACAGAAACTCAACGCAATTCCTCTAAAATCAGGAACAAAACAAGGCTGTCCACTCTCTCCATACCTTTTCAACATGGTACTTGAAGTTCTAGCTATAGCCATACGACAACAAAGGGGGATCAAGGGGATACAAATTGGGAAGGAAGAAGTCAAACTTTCACTGTTTGCAGACGATATGATAGTTTATATCAGTGACCCAAAGAACTCTACCAGGGAACTCTTACAGCTGATTAACACCTTCAGCAAAGTGGCAGGTTACAAGATCAACTCAAGAAAGTCAGTAGCCCTACTATATACAGATGATAAAAGGGCTGAAAGAGAAATCAGAGAAACATCACCCTTTACAATTGCCACAAACAACATAAAATACCTTGGGGTAACGCTAACCAAACAAGTGAAAGACCTGTATCGTAAGAACTTTGAATCTTTAAAGAAAGAAATTAAAGAAGCCCTCAGAAAATGGAAAGATCTCCCATGCTCTTGGATAGGTAGGATCAATGTAGTAAAAATGGCAATCCTGCCAAAAGCAATCTACAGATTCAATGCTATCCCCATTAAAATCCCAGCACAATTCTTCACAGACCTTGAAAGAACAATAATCAATTTTGTATGGAAAAACAAAAGACCCAGGATAGCCAAAACAACCCTGTTCAACAAGGCAACGTCCGGAGGCATCACTATCCCTGACCTCAAGCTCTATTATAGAGCTATAGTCCTGAAAACAGCTTGGTATTGGCACAAAAATAGACAGGCAGACCAATGGAATCGAATTGAAAATCCGGGTATTAACCCACACACGTACGAACATCTGATCTTCGACAAAGAAGCTAAAAATATACAATGGAATAAAGAAAGCATCTTCAACAAATGGTGCTGGCATAATTGGAGACTGGCATGTAGAAAAATGCGGATCGATCCATGTTTATCGCCATGCACAAAACTTAAGTCCAAATGGATCAAAGACCTCAACATAAATCCAGCCACACTGAACCTCTTAGAAGAGAAAGTGGGTGGTACCCTTGAAAGAATTGGTACAGGAGACAGCTTCCTGAACATAACACCAGTAGCACAGACAGTGAGATCAACAATTAATAAATGGGACCTACTGAAACTGAGAAGCTTCTGTAAGGCAAAGGACACAGTCAGCAAGACAAAAAGGCAGCCCACAGAATGGGAAAAAATATTCACTAATCCCACATCTGACAGAGGGTTGATCTCCAAAATTTACAAAGAACTCAAGAAGCAAGTCTCCAAAACAGCAAAGGACCCAATTAAGAAGTGGGCTGCAGAACTAAATAGAGAGTTTTCAATAGAGGAGTCTAAAATGGCTGAGAGGCACTTGAGAAAGTGCTCAACATCCTTAGCCATCCGGGAAATGCAAATCAAAGCAACTCTGAGATACCATCTCACTCCTGTCAGAATGGCTAAAATCAAAAACACCAATGACAATTTATGCTGGAGAGGATGTGGTGAAAGGGGGACACTCCTCCATTGCTGGTGGGAGTGCCAACTGGTTCAGCCACTTTGGAAAGCAGTATGGAGATTCCTCAGAAAAATGGGAATAAACCTACCACAAGACCCAGCAACTGCACTCTTAGGCATATATCCAAAAGATGCCCATTCATATAACAAAGATGTCTGTTCCACTATGTTCATAGCAGCTTTATTTGTAATAGCCAGAACTTGGAAGCAACCTAGATGTCCCTCACCCGAAGAATGGATAGAGAAAATGTGGTACATCTACACAATGGAGTACTATTCAGCAGAAAAAAATAATGGAATCATGAGATTCGCAGGCAAATGGATGACACTAGAAGAAACCATCCTGAGTGAGGTAACCCAGTCACAAAAAGAGAAACATGGCATGTACTCTCTCATATATGGATTTTAGACATAGATCTGGGGAGTGCCAGCCTACAATCCTATTGCCAGAGAGTCTGGGAAACAGAAACTTCATTTACTGGCTGGTTAAGTACTGAGCTGAACTCAAGAAAGCCAGTATCAGAGAGGGAGGACTGATGATCAAAGGGATTAAGACTGGGCTGGTTGAACCCCCAGAAACAGCTGACCAGACAAAGGTTAACTCTTGAATCCCAGGCATCAGCCTGGGAATCCAGCATGGGACTGATCAAGACCCCCTGAATCTGGGTGTCAGTGAGGAGGCCTAGGTAATCTATTGAGCCTTGGACAGCAGATCAGTACCCATCCCAAGTATACACACGGTCTCTGGACTCCCATAGAACAATGTGAGGTGCACTCTCACCCTGAACTCTTGGGGAAGGGTCTAGGCCCTGCCCTATATGAAATGACAGACTATGGACACCCCCATGGAGGGCCTCACCCTCCCTGGGGGAATGAGGGGATAACGGGGGGGGATGGGGGGAGGGCACAGGAGGAGGGGAGGGAAAGGGAGAGGGACCTCGTACTGACTTGTGAAGCAACCTTGTTTCTTATCTAAATTTAAAATGGAAAATAAAAAAAATATTAATATAATAAAAAAAAATATTCACTCATAAAAAAAAAAAAAAAAAAAAAAAAAAGATACTATGTATATTCTTTATTCCATGGCAAAGCGTAAGTGTTTGTTTGTCTAAATTGATCAAG